AAGTTTTGATTCATAGGTTGGAGCCCATACCTGGTATTGATATCAACCCTAGGAACCTGAGGCTAGGCAGGTCACAGGACATAGGGAAGAGCCTAATACTAGTTTTCTACTAAGTAGTTATAGTATTAAGCTGACTCCTAATGACTTATTGTTATGCCTATAGATGAATGCATCTCTCAACTCTCAGGAGAGAAGCTTCCTTGTACAGCACAAGGTGATTAACAGAGGAACCTACAACTGGCCAACACACAAAGACCAAGAGGCTGCAGAGCACTTATCCCTGAGTTGGACACTTATATCAAAGTTCTGCCTCTCAAGGCTCAGGGATCTCTGTGGAAGAGAGGGAAGAAAGATTGTAAGATTGTAAGAGCCACAGGAGGTAGATGATCAGAAGGAAACTGAGTTCTCCAGACAGTTGGTCAGGTACTCATAGGAACTCACAGCAATGGTGACAGCATGTAGAAGTTCCATGCAAACTCAAACCAGAGAAAATTCCAGTTTGGCCATGGAGAAGTGGGCAAGAAACTCCAATCTTACCTGAGGAGGTATTGGCAACTGTGGACTGTTGGGAGAAAGAGTGACAGACACTTCCAAGGATGTGACTCTTGTTAGGTTAACCAGGCTCCAGTGGTTGAGCTCACGTTGAAGGACGTTTGGAGACACACACACACACACACACACACACACACACATATATATGTGTGTGTGTGTGTGTGTATTATATATATGTGTGTGTGTATTATATATATGTGTGTGTAATAATAGAGTACATTAAGTTGGGTTCAGGATAGTAAGGGGAGGGGCAGATTGGGGAGGGGATCAAAATATCATCAAATTATATTGTATGAAAATTGCAAAAATTCAGTTTAAAATACCTGGTACTCCAAAATGTGAAATCAACTAAGTTTGAAATTCAATAAAAGATGATTGGAAGAACGAAAACACGGCCTGTTTTGTGGGGTAACAGCAATGACTAGAAAAAGATCCAGTTGGAAGTGTTGGCCTATAATCTCAGCACTTGAGAATGTGAGGCAGGAGGATTGCCCCACGTTCCAGACTAGCCTGAGCTGCCATTTGAGTCCTTGTCTAGGACAGAGACAGATCCAAAACTGACACAGATGACAAACTGGAGCCAAAAACATTGATGCAATTATTTCCTTGGATTTCTGGCTTAAATGGAGTATGAAGACCTAGTTTACTGTCTACTTTGAAAACAAGAAAAAAGAAAGAAAAATTAAAAAGACACAAAATGGATAAAGTATGTAAAACAATACTTTGTAAGAATCGGGCTCTGTGGGATTAAGGAAGACAAATGATGGGCATCCCATGATGCACTGTAGCTGATTGATCTGAAAAGTTCCAGGACAGGATCCAGGGCAGGCCAGTAAAGCAAAGCAGGTAGATTTGAGACAGAACTGAAAAACAGAGTGGTAAGAGTTCACAAGAGATAAACCCGGAGACCTGCAGTCAGGGAGAGAAAACTCAGTCATAGGAACAGGAGTCTCCTAACGTGTTCACCTGTGTCCTGAGCAGGGCAGAAGTGAGGAAACCCAAGCACCAGTGTCCCAAATAGCTTTTAGCTACTTGGCACAGCCTAGAATCACCTAAAAAGGAAGGGAGTCTCAATTGAGGGACTTCCCAAATCAGATTGACCTTTGGACAACACATCCATGGTGAACTGTCTTGTCAATTGATGTAGGAAGGGCCCAGACAGTCATGGGCAGCACTGTTTCCTGGAGATGTGGTCATGGGCTGTATAAGAAAGCTAGCTAACCTTTTGATTGCCAGCAAGCAGTGTTCCTCCACCTTTGACTTCCAAGTTTCTGATTTGAGTTCCTGCCCTGACTTCTCTCAGAGAAGGACTGTAACCTGCAAGCTGAAATAAACTCTTGCCTTCCCTGAGTTGTTTATCATAGCCACAGAAAGGAAACTAGAAAAGGAAATACCATCACCAAACTGCTAAAGGGGAATTTCCTCTCCAGCTCTTACCTCACTCCTCTTAGAACTCTTTTTTCCTTGTTTTTAAATTCAAAATTCAATTTCTTATACTCCTGGTGCCTTACCTTTTCTGTACTTGAAAAATTAAAAAAAGCCTGAATCCTGCCCTTAAAGATTCTGATGTAGTGTGTCCGAGCTGCAATTATGAAATTTGCACTTTTTAAACTTCCACCCCACCCCATGCCCCACCCGCTCTTGAAGGCACAGCACAGCCCTTGGTTAGAACAGCTTCCTAGACTGTATCAAGATGTCTTTTCAACAGAATTGTTGACCTTAGAAACTGAGGAGTGGCAAGTGGGTTACTACAATGAGCAGCAGTGCATCTCTGGGTTCCAAATCTCCTTGGCTATGGGCTGTGGTCCTTGCCAATTCACTAAAAGAGCTCAAGTGTTCCAGGACCAGAAGCGGGAGGGACGTGGAAGGTAAGAGTTGGTCTCAACCTTGAAGGTGACCACTGCATTTGTAGGTTCTCTCTGAGGATTTCTGGTTCCTGCAAAGCCAATTCCACACTCTAGGGAACTACTCCAACTTCTTCTCTGGCCAATGGATGAAGTTTCAGAGGCTTGGAGCAGTGACTGTCTAGTTTTTAGCGGTGCTACAGTGTGGGAATGACTTTTATTAACGGGTATAATCTGGACTGATGACTCTTTTTTTAAAAAATATTTATTTTCATTTTATGTATATGCATGTATTGCCTGCATGTAGGTAAGTGTACCCATGTCGTGCAATGCCCAAGAAGGGCAAAAGAGGCTGTTGGATCCCCTAGAACTAGAGTTACGAACAGTCGTTACCTGTCTTGTGGGTGCTGGGATTTGAACCTGGATCTT